AATGGACATTTGCATTATAGACTAAATTTTGATCTAGACAAAAATTTCATCACAGCTTGAAAGAGCATCACAAAATTAGTAATATTCCAAAGTTTCGTTGCGAAATGTTGTAAAATGCGGATAATATAGCCTTGCGAAATTTGCAATTTTCAGTCATTTTGTATTACAAACGGGAAATTGATGTCCCAACACCCGATTGGGCTGTCAATTTCCCGTGCGTAATACAAAATGACTGAAAAACGGCAAACTTCGCAAGGCTATATTATCCGCATTTTACAACATTTCGCAACGAAACTTCGGAATATTACTAATTTTGTGATGCTCTTTCAAGCTGTGATGTAATTTTTGTCTACACTTGTTTAGATCAAAATTTAGTCTATAATGCAAATGGTCCATTTCCATCAACGTCGGGCAAATTTATGTCCGTCCCCCTAATTTTTTCCGGCTTTTTCGCCCATGCTCTGGTGAACCGAGATGTCTGAAATCTTGATTTTTACCCCCATACACATGTATGTAGTCTATGATCAACTGATGTTGCGTCTAATGCGTTTATTTCGTTTTCTAGTCCAGAAAAATCACGTTTTGTAGCGGACAACGAAACCCCATTCTCTGACGAAGATTTCGTTGTTACGAAACCACGTCGGCGCTTGAATATGTCTGCTGCACTTAACGAGTCAAGGTAAATCGAAGGTTCATCATCTCTTATTAATTAAGCCTCGTACATGCAGATGAACAATTTTTCCTTGACAAGTTTACTTTCTCGTGTGTACCGCAGTCAGAAAGTTTTCCTTGACAAGTTTATTTTTACGTATTTAGAAAGCTTAAAAATGAATCTCATATGCAAAAATGATTTTTGTAAATATTTAAGCCAATACGCCCTGGTAATTTAATTTATTGCTTATTTACAGCGATGAGAACCCGGAGAAGAGCACTTCAACGTCAAAAAAGTCAAAGAAGTTACCCGATTGGGTGTTTAACCAAACTAAACGTCCAACACTGTCCTACTATAGTGACGCAAATGATGATGACGACTTAAAGAAAGCGAAATTGGCAAGCTTATGTGAAACACAACTAAAACTTAGCGAAGAAGAACAAATTAAACTAGCCACAATTGCTAGCTTACAGGAAAAACAAGCAGATAGCGAACAGGGGCGGATTGAAAGTACGAATACTAAAAACGCTCAAGAAAAACTAACACATACCGACAGTGAAGATGAGCGAATTAAAATAGCCATGAACACTAGCTTGAAGGAAAATATAACACATTCTTGCAAAGAGATTGCACGTCATCAAGAAAACAAGACAACCGTCGATGAGGGACAAGTTGAACGTGAAAGAATTGGCAGTTTGGAAGGAAACCAAGGAGGCAGTAGCGAAGAGCAAATTAAGTGTACAAAGTCAACGAGCTTGCAAGGAGAACGAACTCAGTTTAGGAAAAGTGAACAAATCGAACATACCAAAATTAAAAACTTGCAAGGAAACCAAACAGATTTCAGTGACGAAGTGCAAGTTAAGCCTACAACGATTGTAAGCCATCGAGAAAAACGAAGACGCGATAGCGAAAATGGACTCGTTGAACATGCTAAAACAGGTGACTTAAGTGAAGAGCATATTAAACGTCAAGGGAGAACGAGAGTTCATGGAAAGCAAACAGACGTTAGTTATGAAGGACAAATTAAACCACCAAACATAGGAGAACAGGCAGACGTCGCCAGCGACGAAGAGCAAATTAAACTTACAAGCACAGCGAGTCTTCAAGGAGAACGGTCACACGATAACGAGAGACTAGAGCAAGCGAAGATAGAAAGTCTACATACAGAACAAAACGAGGACTTGAAATCAGACATTCTTTCTTGTGCGGAGGTGAGCGATGCTGAGCTGATGGAAATTGATAGAATAGAAGAAGGCGCATTGTCAAGCGATTCAGAAGGGCTCTTGCCTGTGGAGAATACTATCGACAGTAATACAAAAAATTCGACTGCTAGTAAACCACTGCAAAATCTTCACCACACTGAAAGCGCGGATAACAGAAATAAGAGTTCACAGGACAGTACAAATGGTTCTCGTAAAAGATCTTCACTCGACTGTGATGATTCGGTCGTTCATAACGCTCAAAGCGCTACAAAGAGAGATTTCAAATTGAACGGTGGAGCGACGAAACTGGATACTCCGTCAAAAAGAAGAAAAGTTGAGAAGATTCAAACGGAGATAGTTCCCTTCGATGGCGACGAGGATGTTCAATTGAAGAAAGCGCTTGAGATTAGCAAGAAGGAACACGTAAGCATTTGAAATAAAGTATTTTGTGTTTCAATCAATCATACTATATTTCACAAAGACAAAATATTGTAAATACAAAAAAAATCTAAAATATTTACAAGATGTGATCGTCCAATAGGCCATGCTATGTATGATTAATTACATGCAATTATAAAACATAATTTATTACGTTAATACAATAAGATCGAAGAGAAAAAAGAGAAAAAAAGATAAATTGATTATCAAGAATTATTACCACTATTTGTCACTAGAGCCCTTTTGAAAGAACCCAAATTTTTTTGTTATGTAATAAATCATTCCAAGCTACAGCTCCTGTGTACGAGAATGATTTTTTACAAAAGTTGGTATTTGGCCTCATTTGTGTTTGTGAAATAGATGTAAAAGGTTACTGTACATATAGTGGTACATTGTTTCCTAGCCATATTTCCCAAAGATGGAGAAACCAGGAAATATTATTTCCTAGCCATGTTTCCCACAGATGGACATACCAGAAAATATTGTTTGCTAGCCATGTTTCCCACAGGCGGAAGTGTTGTTGTTTCCTAGCCATGTGGGCAAACCAGCAAACATTATTTCCCAGCCATGCTTCCCGCTTTATATCAAATCTCGCTGATATGTACAGTATAAACACTTTTGTAGGACAAAAGTCGATCTGAACAAGAAGCAATTGAGCGATCGCAAATGGAGGAAGCTATCAGGATAAGCATTGAAGGTGATCCTATTTTCCAATTATAATAGTAACAGCATGGATTGTAAAATAACTGGATAGGAAACTTCTGACGTCATTGACTGCATCCTTGTCACAGAATAGGAAGGTATACCAGAAGTCTCACTCAAGCAAGTATTTGTCCGCGTTTTTACAAGCAATTCGTCATCAATCACGCCATCCTGGCTAGTACAACCGGCACTTTGTACCTACCAAAACCTGATAAAAACGTCCGGTTGTACTAGCCAGGATGACGTGGATTGGCGTGAGCAAGTTAAAATTTTCGTGGACGTAAAACAATAAGGGAAACGACTGGAGTTACGCTTCTGCTGTAACTTCTTATTCTGTGTCCTTGTTGAAAAACGTGACGTCACGCGTATTGCGAATGTTACCAAAGTTCTCGGCATTTTTGTTGTTTTGCTATATTTTCCACTTTAAAAGAGTGATCTTGAAGCGTAAACTGGTCTAATTGTTTTAAAAACATGCCTAAGCCACGACAAAGTATTCAAGGTAAATGTTTTTCGTCTTTGTTTTGTATTTTTTTTTACATTTGTAGCTACGAAATTGGCGTCACAAATTTTAACGAAATTTGCGATGTATTTTTCACTGTTTAGTGCTTGAAATATTTGCTAAAATTGACTGGGAATACTTAGAGTTTTCATCGTAGAATGGCGTGGTTACATTTATTTGCTCTTTGACTAAAATGTTTAGCTGTATTATTGCTAAACATGCCGTTTTTGAGAATTTGACTTTCAACTAGGTTGAGGCATCCAACCACGCCATCAATCCCAGTAAAAACATTAGGTCACTGACGTCAGCTAGTTTCCTATCCATTTATTTTACTATCCATGGTAACAGTAAAGCTACGTTGACATCAGCCTAGTCCCTTGGCCTTCCAAGCGCGGGCGAGTTACAGGGCTGTCGTGAACTTGCGGGCTGTCAGTTTCGGAAAATAGCGATTTCCCCCTAAAATAACGAGGCAGAAGCGGGAAGGCCAGGAACTAGGCTGCGTTGACATATGGTTTACACACAACGATTAATCGGGCTGATTTCAGGTTTTGCCGAATGTTAATGACGAATGTTTGTCAGTTGACGATGATGTTGACAACGTATTTTTCAAATATCATTTAATTAAAGCTGAATCGGCCCGATTAATCGTTGTGTGTATAAACGTACCTTTTAGCTTTTCTCACGATGACGAATATCCGCCATTTTTGGGTGGCATCTAATTCTCGTTAACCAATGCAGACAATTGAAACAATGTGAAAAGCAATTTTTCAAAATAAACTAACCATTTACGAAGCGAATTTCCCATCATTCGTCCAAAAAATTATAAAAAGTCGCTGTTATGTGGACTTGTCTCGCAGACTTCGGCAGAAAAACCACCTAAAAATGGCGGCGTGAGAATGGCTAATTCGCCAGAGGCTTATACACCACTTTCATAATACAGACCTAACAGACGGCTTTAAATATTCTTCCACTTGCATCCGGTTATAAAATTTTATTCAGTCTCAGTGACAAAAATGAGGCCAAGAAGGCTTTTTAAGATGCACATAAAAGAATATTTCAACCCCTCTGTATTATGAAAGTGGTATATGTCATGATACACGTGCTCAACTTTTAATACATATAATTGTTTTGTAAAGATGGGTTGATAAACGCTACTGCGAAAAACATGGTAGTTGAAGAGCCAACAGAAGAGAATAGCGACGTTGAGGTAACGCGGTAAACACTTCACTGTAAACTAAAATACACTTATTTTTACTGAATAGCTCTATCAGTTTTAGAGGTCGGATCGGATTTGCACACCTCTAGTAGACATTCAATAAGCGCTATCCCTTATAATTGATCCAGTTTCACTGCGGGAAGAAATATCTTGAGTCATGACTGAGTCACGATCTTTCTCATCAGCCGGAATACAACATTTTGAAAATACGCGGAGTGACTATAACTAGGGAATACTTATGATTTATACGTGGTTTACAGGTATAAACTATTATAAACTGGGCGTCGAGAAAGATCGTTACGACCAATACGATCATTGGAAACCAGGCTTACTGTCGTTCCAATTGAAGTGTTGCTCAAATATTGATTCAATACATTACCTCGGGCTGACCAATTCATTTGATCAAGTTCCTCGAGATATTCATACACTTCCTAGTATAATTGTAAACTTCCTGTTGAATAGTTTGAATGCACCAATCACCTTTGTTGTTTGTGCAACTAACCAATCATAAATAGAAAGGAAGTGACCAGAAATTATCAATTACTTGGAATTGACTCTTTCACAGGAAGTGTATGAATATCTCGAGGAACTTGATCAAATGAATTGGTCAGCCCGAGGTAATGTATTGAATCAATATTTGAGCAACACTTCAATTGGAACTAAACATAAACTAGCTGTATCAGTTTTCAACTCCTCTCCCTAGAAGTGCAGTAATGGCCATTTATTCCTGGTCCAGTGTTACCACAGGAGGAAACGAGAGTACCAGGAGAAAACCTGTTGTGTTTGGTAGAGTACACACGCAAAACTGTCACATCTTGTAGCAAGTCTGCCAACAAGTTGTGTTCGCACTGCTTGTCCCAAACTGTCAACAAGTTTCGAACAAGCTGTTAACAACTTGTAACAAGCTTGATGGCATTATCAGACTTGTTGGAAGGTTGTTCCAACAAGTCTGATACCGTCATGATATAACAATACTGTTACAACCTTGTAACGTTCTTGTTATATCATGACTGTATCAGACTTGTTAGAACAACTTTGTAACAGGCTGATAATGCCAACAAGCTTGTTACAAGTTGTTAACAGCTTGTTTCAAACTTGTTCCAACAACTGGGAACAAGCAGTGCGAACACAACTTGTCGACAGTTTGTGAACAGATTTGTAACAACTTGTTTGCAGACCTGTAACAACTTGTGCGTTTTTACGTGTGTAGAACTTGAAACACTTCTTACATGTGACTGAGGTGAAATTATATTCAAGCAACTACTGGAATCGATTCCTGGCAAGGCCGAATTTTGGTGGAAATAATGGGGAGGTGCAGCAGTCTAGCTCACGACCCCCATGGAAAGTTAGGGCTTAGAACGGGCCAAAGTCAACGACGTGACGTATGCATGTACAGTAATGTACATATTTATCAGTGTATTAATGAATTATGACTGTACAACTCATCCAATTTTGCCCTTCACTACAATTACTACAAAGTTTCTTCCAAAACATTGCATTAAAAGGATACTTGACACAGAGATGATTGGCCATCACTGTTTCAATTTTACAGAAAAACTTTCTTATGAACTGTAGACCCTAAGCAACCAAAAATGTCAAATTTTCATTTTGATCTATCATTGGCACTTTCCCAAGGGCAGGTGCATGACTTTTTAGGGGAGGTGCAAAAATTCTCAGGGGAGGTGCAAAACGATCTCAGGGGAGGTACCCACCTCCCCTCAAAATCCGGCCACCATTCCTGGTCACAGAGGTCAAAGACATGTCTACACTAAGAACTGCGCCAAACAATAACATTGTTTTAAACTTTTATTATTTATTTTGCTGTTTAGAAAATGGAAACAGAAGATATTCCACCGGATGAGTTCAGCTACAGACTTGTTAGTGTAGTGAGTCATGTTGGTGCAAATGCATCTGCAGGTATGTATATAGTGGACACACGCCGAAAAATCAGTCAACAAGTTGTGTTCGCACTGCTTCTCCCTACACACGTAAAAACGCACAGTTTGTAACAAGTCTGCAAACAAGTTGTTACAAATCTGTTCACCAGTTGTCGACAAGTTGTCTTCGCACTGCTTGTTCCCAGTTGTTGTAACAAGTTTGGAACAAGCTGTTAACAACTTGTAAACAACCTTGTTGAAATTATCAGACTTGTGACAAGGTTGTTCTCACAAGTCTGACACAGTCATGGTACAGTATAACAAGAATGTTACAAGGTTGACGACACAAGGTTGTAACATTATTGTCATTTCATGACTGTATCGGACTTGTTTGAACAACCTTGCAAGTTGTACACACATAAAAATCTCACATCTTGTAACAAGTCTGCTAACAAGCCGTGAACAAGATGTATTCGCACTGCTTGTCACAAGTTGTCAACAGGTTTGGAACAACTTGTTGACAACTTGTAACAACCTTGTCGAAATTATCAGACTTGTTGCAAGGTTGTTCTGACAAGCCCGTTACATACTTGATATAACAAGATTGTTACAACCTTCTGTTGACAACCTTGTAACATCCTTGTTATATCATGGCTGTAACAAAGTTATTAGCACAGTCTTGTAACAAGTCTGATAATGCCATCAAGCTTGTTACAAGTTGTTAACAGCTTGTTCCAAACTTGTTACAACAAACTGGGAACAAGCAGTGCGAACACAACTTGTTGACAGCTTGTGGACAGACTTGTAACAACTTGTTTGCAGACTTGTAACAACTTGTGCGTTTTCACGTGTATAGCAAGTCTGATAGTATCAACAAGGTTGTTACAAGTGGTTAACAGCTTGTTCCAAACTTGTTGACAACTTGGGACAAGCAGTGCGAACACAACTTGTTGACAGACTTAGATGTTAGATTTACTACACACGTAAAAATCTCACATTTTGTAGCAAGTCTGCCAACAAGCTGTCAACAAGTATTCGTACTGCTTGTCCCAAGTTGTCAACAAGTTTGGAACAAGCTGTTAACAACTTGTAACAAGCTTGTTGATATTATCACACGTGTGACAAAGTTGTTCTGATAAGTCCGATACAGTCGTGATATAACAAGAATGTTACAAGGTTGACGACACAGGATTGTCACAATATTGTTATATCATGACTCTACAAGACTTGTTGGAACAACCTTGCAACAAATCTGATAATATCAACAAGCTTATTACAAGTTGTTCCATACTTGTTGATAACTTGGGACGGCTTGTTGGCAGACTTACTACAAGTTAGATGTTAGATTTTTACCTGTGTACACACGTAAAATTTGTACACATGTAAAAACTACACACGTAAATCACAGCCTTGCTACAAACGGACTTGTCACAACTTGTTGTCAACAAGCTTGTTACAGGTTGTTTCAACAAATGTGATTTGTCTTGTTGTCAACAAGCTTGTTACAAGTTGTTCAAAGAAGTGTGATTTATCTTGTTGTCAACAAGCTTGTTACAAATTGTTCCAACAAGCTAAGTATCATTTGTCTTGTTGTCAACAAGCTTGTTACAAGTTGTTCCAACAAATGTGATTTGTCTTGTTGTCAACAAGCTTGTTACAAGTTGTTCAAACAAGTATGATTTATCTTGTTGTCAACAAGCTTGTTACAAATTGTTCCAACAAGTATGATTTATCTTGTTGTTGACAAGCTTGTTACAAGTTGTTCCAACAAGTGTGATTTGTCTTGTTGTCAACAAGCTTGTTACAAGTTTGGAAAACAAGTGTGATTTGTCTTGTTGTCAACAAGCTTGTTACAAGTTGTTCCAACAAGTGTTGTGATTTATCTTGTTGTCGACAAGCTTGTTACAAGTTGTTCCAACAAGTGTGATTTGTCTTGTTGTCAACAAGCTTGTTACAAGTTGTTCCAACAAGTGTGATTTGTCTTGTTGTCAACAAGCTTGTTACAATTTGTTCCAACAAGTGTGATTTATCTTGTTGTTGACAAGCTTGTTACAAGTTGTTCCAACAAGTGTGATTTGTCTTGTTGTCGACAAGCTTGTTACAAGTTGTTCCAACAAGTGTGATTTGTCTTGTTGTCAACAAGCTTGTTACAAGTTGTTCCAACAAGTGTGATTTGTCTTGTTGTCAACAAGCTTGTTACAAGTTGTTCCAACAACTTGCTATAGGTCTGCAAGACGACTAGTTGTTACAAGCTTGATGCCAACAAGCTTGTTGCAACTTGATAAAATAGGAAGCTTGTTACAACTTGTCAACAAGCTCGCTGCAAGCTTGTTCCGTCAAAAAGTTGTGTTCGTAAAGCTTGTCCCTAGTTGGCAACAAGTTTGGAACAAGCTGTTAACAACTTGTAACAACCTTGTTGATATTATCAGACTTGTTGCAAGGTTGTTCCAACAAGTCCGATACAGTCATGATATGACAATATTGTTACAACTTTGTGTCGTCAACTTTATGACATTCTTGTTATATCATATCTGTATCAGACTTGTTAGAACAATCTTGTAACAAGTGTGATCATGCCATTAAGTTTATTACAAGTTGTTAACAGGTTGTTCCAAACTTGTTACAACAACTGGGAACAAGCAGTGCGAACACAACTTGTGAACATATTTGTAACAACTTGTTTGCAGACCTGTAACAACTCGTGCGTTTTTCAACTCGTGCGCTTGGTGATATTATCAGACTTGTTCCAAGGTTGTTCCAACAAGTCCGATACAGTCATGATCAACAACAATGTTACAACCTTGTGTCGTCAACCTTGTAACATTCTTGTTATACCATGACTGTATCAGACTTGTGAGAACAACCTTGTCACACGTCTGATAATATCAACAAGGTTGTTTACAAGTTGTTCCAAACCTGTTGCCAACTTGGCACAAGGTTGTTCCAACAAGTCAAATACAGTCATGATACAACAACAATGTTACAACCTTGTGTCGTCAACTTTAACCAGACTTATTAGAACAACCTTGTAACAATTTTTTTCTGTGTTGGTGTAGTGTACTCAGGTGAATATGATATTTGTGGTGTTACTCTGAGTGTATATCCACACCGGGCGAGCTTGAAAATCCGAAATATCACTTACTCGAACCGTCCTGACCGCGTAGCTCAGTTGGAAGAGCATTGGGCTAGTATTCCAAAGGTCGTAGGTTCGAATCCCACCGTGGCCGGGCATATTTTTCAAGCTCGCCCGGTGTGGATATACAAGTTGTTCAA